GCGTGTGCGTGCGTGTGTGTATGTGTGTGCGTGTCTGCGCGTGTGTGCGTGTCTGTGCGTGAGTGTGTGTGTGTCTGCGTGTGTGTGCGTGCGTGTGTGCATATGTGTGTGTGTCTGTGCATGCGTGTGTGCAGGTGTGTGCGTGTCTGTGCGTGTCTGTGCATGTGTGTGTGCGTGTCTGCGTGCGTGTCTGCATGCGTGTGCGTGCGTGTCTGCATGTGTGTGCGTCTGTGCAGGTGTGTGCGTGTCTGCGTGCGTGTCTGCGTGTGTGTGCATGCGTGTGTGCATGTGTGTGCAGGTGTGTGCATGTCTGCGTGCGTGTCTGTGTGTCTGCCTGAATGTGTGTGCGTCTGTGCAGGTGTGTGCGTGTCTGCGTGCGTGTCTGCGTGTCTGTGCATGCGTGTGCGTGTCTGTGCATGCGTGTGTGCATGTGTGTGCATGTCTGTGTGCGTGTCTGCCTGCGTGCCTGCGTGTCTGCGTGTGTGTGCATGTGTGTGCGTGTGTGTGCATCCGTGTGTGCAGGTGTGTGCGTGTCTGCGTGCGTGTCTGCGTGTGTGCGTGCGTGTGAGCATGTGTGTGCAGGTGTGTGCATGTGTGTGTGTGCATGTGTGTATGCGTGTGTGTATGTGTGTGCATGTCTGCATGCGTGTGTGCGTGTCTGTGCATGCATGTGTGCATGTGTGTGTATGCATGCGTGCATATGTGCGTATGTGTGTGCGTGGCTGTGCATGCATGTGTGCATGTGTGTGAGGGTGTGTGGGTGTGCTTGTGTGCATGCATGTGTGCCTGTGTGTATGTGTGCATGAGTATGTATGTGTGCATATGCATGCATGTGTGTGCATTTGTGTATGCATTTGTCTGCATGCATGTGTGTATGCATGTGTGCACGTGTGTGCATGTGGGTGTGGGTGTGGCTGTGTGCATGCATGTGTGCGTGTGTCTGTGCATGCATGTGTGCATGTGTGTGTATGCATGCATGCATGTGTGCGTGTGTGTGCGTGTCTGCATGCGTGTGTGCATGTGTGTGAGGGTGTGTGTGTGTGCTTGTGTGCATGCATGTGTGCCTGTGTGCATGCATGTGTGCCTATGTGTATGCATGTGTGCCTGTGCGTACGTGTGTGCATGTGTACACATGTGTGCATGCATGTGTGCGTGTGTCTGTGCATGCATGTGTGCCTGTGTGTATGTGTACATGTGTATATGTGTGCATGTGTGCATGTGTGTATGCATGTGTCTGTGCATGCATGTGCACACATGTGTGCATGTCTACATGTGTCTGTGCCTGTGCATGCATGTGTGTATGCATGTGTGCATGTGTGTGTATGTGTACATGTGTGCATGCATGTGTGTGTGCATGTGTGTACATGTGTCTGTTTACGTGTGCATGCATGAGTGCACGTGTCTGTGCATGCACGTGTGGATGCATGTGTGCATGTGTGTGTATGTGTACGTGTCTGTGCATGTATGAGTGCATGCATGTGTGCATGTCTGTGCATATCTGTGCATGTGTTCATGCATGAGTGTGCATGTGTGTATGCATGTGCCTGTGCGTGTGTGTGTATGCATGTGCCTGTGCATGTGTGTGTACATATGTCTGTGCATGCATGCATGTGCATTCATGTGCCTGTGTGGATGCTTGAACATGTATAGACATGCATGTGTGTCTGTGTCCTTCCATGTGCGTGTGTGTGCAGGGATGGGGGGTGTGTGTGTGTGTGTGTTCTTGTGTCCCTGTGTGTGTGGGGAGGGGTTTTTGTGTCCCTGGGTGTGTGCATGTGTGTTCATGTGTGATGTCTGGGTCCTTGTGTGTGGGGAACGCCTGTGTGTGTCTGTGCCCACATATGTGTGTGTCTGTCCCCATGTGTGTGTGTGGATGCGTGAGCATGCACAGATGTGTGTGCTGGCATGTGCCCCGGTGTGTGCACACACAGACGTGTGCCGTTCCAGGTGTGTGTCTGCACGCATGGGTGCACATGGATACGGCTGTCCCTGTGTTACACACAAGCGTGTGCGTGTAGATGTTCACGTGCATGTGTGTGCTGTGGCTGTGCACGTGCACATGTGTGTGCAGGCATGTGCAATTCTGCATGCACGTATGTGTGTGCATGTGAAATTGGGGGGGGGTACCTCCTGCCCCGGACCCTCTAGCCTGGCAGGTGTGTGTCCCCTGGCCCCCACCCTGAGCCACCCAAAGGTGCGGGTGCCCTGACGGGAGGGGAGCCGGGAGCTGCCTTGGGGCTGCTGGAGAGGCCGGGAGACGCAGACCAGGCTTTGGATCCAGTACATCCCAAGCGGATGTAGCTCCTGATCCAGCCTGGAGATTTTCTTGGGAAAAGGCATCTCAGCCCCCTTGGAAAGCCCCTGCCCGCGCCGGGGATTTTTCGGTTCTGGGAAGCCGTTGGTGCTGCTGGGCAGAGGACACCCACTCCTCAGCCAGGCTGCCCCGTGGCACAGCTTCTTCCCCAATTCCCGTGCCGTCGCCTCTCCGACTGCTCTTGCGCTGGGCCGGGGAGTCGCTTTGGGTTTCCTCGGGGTGGGCACAGGGTGCGCAGGGCAGGCAGAGCCGCTGCTCTTCGCCACAGATTCATTGTGCCCGGGGCCGGGGACACGCCTGGTGCCCGCTCGCGGCTCTCCCAGCCGTGCCAGCACCGAGCGGCCCAGCGAGATGCTTCCCGAGACTCCCCATGTCTGAGATGCCCCTGCGCCTTGTTCGTGTGACTGGACTCGCGCAACCCGTCCCACTCCTTGCTCCCTGGTGCTAACGGCTCTCCTCTCCGACGGCCGCAGGTGACCAGGATGCTGCACCATGGGAAGCACTGGAAGTCCATGTGCAAGGGGCTCGTCCTGGGGACCCTCCTGACCAGCTTCATGCTGCTGCTCTACTCCTATGCTGTCCCCCCACTGCAAGTCAGCGTGACAGAGTGAGTGTGGGGTCCCCATGTGTCCCCCCCGGCAGCTCAGCCACCCCGTTCGGCACCGGGCACCTCTAACAGAAGCCGGTCCTGGGGCTTTCCAGGCTCCGGTGGCTTCACACCAAGATGTCCCTCCCCTTCCTTCAGCCTTCACGCTGGCGATGGTGCCCTGTCCTGGGTGTGGGGAGAGGCGAACCCCAACTCCCGGGGGGGCTGGAGATGCTCATCCGGGGGGTGCTGCTGCAAAACAGCGGCCAGCACACAGCTCCTGGGGGGCGGAAGGGATGAGGAGGTACAGGCGCCCCCCTGCCCACCGCAGCTTCATGACTCCAGGGAGAAGGGAAAGCACCGTGGGAGACATTCCCCAGCAGCCAGGAGCTGTGGGCAGAGCTGAGGCAGGTCTTGGGGTGCTCTTTGTCGAGGGCCTGTCCTGCAAGAGCAGCCGGAGCGCTGCCACATGCTGCCCCTCGACCACGGGTGGGCAGGGGTGGCACCAAGCTCTCCGCTGCCCACCACGGCAAAAGCCAGCGCGCAGCAGGGCTCAGCTTCTGCCCGTCCCTCCTGGCGTCAAACGTTTCTCCACGCTCACCGGCGCCTGCGGGTGTTTCATGAGCCGCGTGCCGGATGGGATCGGTATCATGGATCAGCTTCGCAACTTCATTAACAGTGTCCAAAGTCACTCGACACTGTGGTCTCTGTTCCCTGCTCTGGGCATCTCAGATGACACATAAATTGTTCTCGGTGCTCCCCGAGAGCCCATGAGCTCATCTGCAGGGAATTATTCCCCTCTTTGCTGAGGTGCTGGATCCTCCACGGCTCCTAAAAGGGGTTGAGAGCTGCCAGGCCTCGCACGAACGAGATCCGCTCCTGTCCGTGGAGTTGCAGCCGCGGAGAGCTCGTCTCTGCACGTCTCAGCGTCACCTGCACCAGGGCCACTGCAGCTGTGCCAGTGGGGAGGGGTGGGGACCCCCTGCTCTCGCTGCACTGGGCTGGGGGGGGTGACCACAGTGAAGACCCCCAGAGCGGTGCATCTCCAGTGGTTGGGGTGGTCCTGGGGGTGAATAAGCTTGGTTTGGTGGCTCAGAGATTCACAGAGTCACAGAGTGGAAGGGGTTGGAAGGGGCCTCTAGAGATCATCCAGTCCAACCCCCTGCCAGAGCAGGATCCCCTAGAGCAGATCCCACAGGAACAAGTCCAGGGTCCTTGGAAAGTCTCCAGGGAAGGAGACCCCACCCCCTCTCTGGGCAGCCTGGTCAGAGCTCTGTCACCCTCACAGGGAAGAAGGGTTTCCTCATGCTCAGGCTGAACCTCCTGTTTCCCAGCGGGCCCCCCGGCCCTGCCGCTGGACACCACTGAGAAGAGCCTGGCCCCAATTCCTGACACCCCCCCTTTAGAGGTGCATCCGATGTTGGGGTTCATGGGGGTGGAGGGCTCTGCTCTGCTCTCCGAGGGGCTCCTGCCAGGTGGGTGCCCCGGTCCCACTGTGCACGTGGCTGGGGGGGGTGACGGGGGCTCTGCCTGAAGCTGGGCTCCTCTCTGCCAGGGATGCTGGGGGTGAGCACCCATTCCCAGCTCCAGCGCCCATCCCTCGGGTGAGCACCCATGCCCGTGTCCACCACCCATGCCCGGGTCCAGCTTCTCCAGGAAGGGAAATGGCCGAGGCTCCAGGGTGGCTGGGCCGCGTTGGCTGAGCTGCCCTCACCGTGGTGTCCTGTCTCTTCTCCCCACTAGGATCCCTGTGTCCCCCTCCTGCTCCTCCCACCCACGCCCCGGCAAGGCACCAGCGGTGGCCAACGGCACGGGCAGCCCCTCGGGACGGAGCTGCCTGCCCAAGCTGAACGTCATGTTCATGAAGACTCACAAGACAGCCAGCAGCACCATCCTCAACATCCTCTTCCGCTTCGGGGAGAAGCATCGCTTAAAATTCGCCTTCCCCAACGGCCGCAACGACTTTTACTACCCCTCCTTCTTCGAGCGCAGCCAGGTGCAGCACTACCGGCCGGGCGCGTGCTTCAACATCATCTGCAACCACATGCGCTTCCGCTACGAGGAGGTGCGCCAGCTGCTGCCGGCGGACGCCACCTTTGTGACGGTGCTGCGGGACCCTGCCTACCTCTTTGAGTCCTCGTTCCACTACTTTGGGCGCGTCATCCCCCTCACCTGGAAGCTGACGGGGGATGACAAGCTGGCAGAGTTCCTCCGGGACCCCTGGCACTACTACGACCCCGACGGGTTCAACGCTCACTACCTCCAAAACCTCCTCTTCTTTGACCTGGGCTACGACAACAACATGAACGCCAACAGCCCGCTGGTGGAGGAGCACATCCGGGAGATAGACCACCGTTTCCACCTCGTCATGTTGCTCGAGTACTTCGACGAGTCCCTGGTGCTGCTGAAGGACCTGCTGTGCTGGCAGCTGGAGGATGTCCTCTACTTCAAGCTCAACGCCCGGAAAGGCTCCACCGTCTCCCGGCTCACACCGGAGCTCTATGAGAAAGCCACCTCCTGGAACCTCATTGATGCCAAGCTCTACCGCTATTTTAATGCCACCTTCTGGCGTAAGGTGGAGGCTTACGGGAGGGAGCGGATGGCCGCGGACGTGGCCGAGCTGCAGCGGGAGAATGAGAAGATGAAGAGCATCTGCATCGACGGGGGACATCCCGTGGACGCCAGCGCCATCCAGGAGTCCTCCATGCAACCCTGGCAGCCGCTGGGCGAGAAGTCCATCCTGGGCTACAACTTGAAGAAGAAGATCAACAAGAAGCACCGGAAGCTGTGCCGCAAGATGCTGACGCCGGAAATACAGTACCTGACAGACCTGGGGGTCAACCTCTGGATCACCAAGCTCTGGAGCTACGTGAGGGACTTCCTGAAGTGGTAGGGGCCGGTGGGCACCCCCCTCTCCCCAGGGAAGAACCAGGTGCTTTCCTTTTTCTTATTCATGGTGGTTTTTGGTTGGACGTGAGCAGAACCGGCCGGAGGCTCCAGCACCCAGGAATGGTCAGGGGGACCCTCCATCACCTCCCTGCAGAGCCCCAGCCTGGGCAGGAGCCTGTGGGGGGGGTCTGCTGTCACCCACCGGCAAGGAGAGCAGAGCCTCTGCCTCCACCCCAGCCTCTGAGGGGTCAAGAACTGGGGGCTTGGGGGTGTTTTTTTCCAGCAGGATCCACTTCTTCCCTTCCCACGGAAAGGCTGGAGGAGGTACTCCTGAAGGATGTGGCCTCGTCACAGCGGGAGCGGGACACCCATCACCACATTGCTGGAGGCAGGCCCTGGGGTGGGCAGGGGCTCCACCTTTCCTGGGTTGGGCAGAGCTGCCAGCAAGGAACCCAAACCTCGAGGGGCTCCTCAAATCACCCCGTGACCCTTGAGCCCTGGTTTGGGGCTGCATGTCGGAGCCTGCTGCACCACTCCAGCTGGTTCCAGCCCATGAGTGCAATGAGTGTAGCACGTTCTCAGCCCACCCACAGCCGTCCATGGCAGGCTGTGACCCAGAGCCAGTTGGAGAATAGAAAACCAACCCCAAAACCCCAGCATTTATCAACGGGCTCATGGTCCCCGCGGGCAGAGGGCACCCATGCAGCAGGTCCCCTCCCAGCCCCCCCTTGTCGTGGTTAGAGGGCCCCATGGCCCTGTTCCCTACAGGGGACATCCTGGCAGGCCCATGGGGTCTGGTGAGAACTGGTGTGGGGAGGAGGTGGGGACTGGGATCCAGCAGCCATCGCCCCCGTGATGCCATCCCCTGGGCACAGAGGGGATGTGGATGGGGTCCGTCCCTCCCTGCCGTGGGGGGACAGCTCTCGGACGTCCCAGCCGGGCTGCATGACATCGGCAATGCCGTGCCCTGCTGTGAGCGGCCCTGGCCAAGCACAGAGGTGGCACCTGCTGCTGAGCTTCCCTGGCAGCGAGGGGACCCCTGCCGGCCCCCTGGCCCGTGTTCTGCTCCCTTTGTAAAGACCACAAATAAAAAAGCAATTCTACTTTTGTAAGATAAGTGTGTATTTGGCATTTTTTAATAGAAGAACGGTCCAGCCGGTCTCCATCCATCTCCTTCTTCTTCGTGGGGCCAGATCCTGCTCTGCTGGGAAGGATTTCCTGGCTCTGCTCTCCCTGTCGGTCCTGGGGTGGGTGGAGAGCCCCATCTCCCCTGGGCACCACTGAGGAACCAGACCCCCAGCACAAGTGGGGCGCTGGGATCCATCCCCACTGTCTCTGCAGTGCTGCTGGGTACTGGTGTGGGACTTGCCTGGGGCCAAGGGGTGGGAGGAAAGTCCCCCATTCCCTGCTCCCAGCAGCCTCCTACAGCTGCGACTGTGGGTCCAGGATCGTGTGGTGGGACTGTGGCTGGAAGCAGGACTATGGAGGGAGAAGGGTAGTGCACCGGGGACCAGGGCTGTGTGGTGGGACCAGCATCAGCGTGGGACCACGACCCAGTGGTGGGATCAGATCCATGGGGCAGGACTAGGACCATGTGTAGGACTGAGACAGGGACCGTATGATGGAACCTGGAGCATCCATGGAACCAACCAGTGCGACCAGACCATGTGGTTCCACTGGGACCAGGCCAAAGAGGTTGGACCAGGACCACATGCAGGACCAAAACCACGTGGTGGGACCAGCACCGTGCATGGGACCAGGACTAAGTGGTGGGTCTGGGACCACGCCGCAGGGCCTGGAGTTTCTTCCAGACCAGGACTGTGAGCCGGACCAGACTGAGTGGTGAGGCTTTGTGATGGGACAGGGACAGAGTGATGGGACTGGGACAGCATGTAGGACCAGCCCCACGCGTGGGGCTGCTGACTGACTGCGGAGGGAACCCAGCAAACCCCCAAGCCCAGCAGCGCCAGCTGGGGCCCGTTGGCACCCAGCCCTGGTCTTTAAGGGCCCGCAGGTGCTGCTGGGGCTGTCGCTTGCTGAGGATGGGGCTGTGCTGGTGGGTGCTGCTGTGTGGGGCTGTGCTGGGAGGTGAGTGGGGCTCGGACCCCTGGCTGTTCCCCTTGGTGCCCCCACTGGTTGTACTGGGGGAGGTGGGTGGTGGGTGCCCCTCAGTTTTGGCTGGTGCTGGTTCCCGGTGCTCCTGGACCCACTGGTGCAGATCCTTGGGGTGAAGGGGAGACCCTCCTAAAATGGGTCTGTGCTCTGGGAATGTGGGGCTGGAGCAAGGGAGCTTGCCAGGAGCTCCCAGTGTCCCCAGGTCCCAGCAGGTCTGTGAGGGCCTGGTTTTGGCTGTGGGCCTAGAGACACTGGTGGGGTACGTGGCTCCTGGCAGTGATGTCCCATCCCGTGAGCCCTGGCTGGAGTCCTGGTGCTGGGTAATGCTCCGGGGTGTGCCTGCAGCTGGGGTGGCTAGGGACACAATCTTGCGTTTTGGGAGGGTTGTGGAGACCCTCGTGGAACACCTCCTTCTCCAGTACCCACCGCCAGAGCGATCAGTGGTCCCGTGCCAGGTCTTGGCCACTGACACCCTGATGTGCCAGACCCAGCCAAGCTCCTGGGTGCACTCCCCACTTGTGCTGTGGCCACCCGCACCCCACGAGCCATGGGGACACCAGAGGACCTGGATGTCCTTGCTGTGCCTGGGATGTGCTGCTCGTGCTGCTGCTCCGTGGCTAAACCCTCCCC